GGTATTAAAGGTAACACAATGGCCGATGCTGCTGCAAAAGCAGCCCTCAACAAATCTGTGACACCGCTTCTGATCCCATACACTGATTTTAAACCCATGATTCGATCTTACATCCGAGATCTTATGCAACAGAAGTGGGACGCCCAAGTAGGTATCAATAAATTACATGAAATTAAACCAAATATCGGTTACACCTACTTGGGCTGTCAGTCAAGATTTGAAGAGGTCATTATGCGACGATGTCGTATTGGCCACAGCAGATATACGCACGAATATTTATTACAAGGTGAGGATCCTCCGTTTTGTATCCCTTGTGATGAAAGAATCACGGTCAAGCATGTCCTGCTTGACTGTGTTGATTTTTCCATCGCAAGGGATAAATATTTCAATGTAAAAACAATTAAGGACCTTTTTAATGATGTTAATTCTCGTTTAATATTATGTTTTTTAAAGGAAATAGAGCTTTTTCATAAATTTTGATGTGATCAATGTATTGTTTTACAAATTGGTAGTGCGAAATTCATAACTTAGATTGTTAGTGGCTGTACCCTTGAGGGGGGTTGAAGTAGCGTAAAATTATTGTCCCCCTAAGAGGGTATGTAAGTCCCAAATCATTCGAAGTATTTTTCTGCACACTAGGCTTTTAAACGTAGTATCTTCGTTATTTTAATCTACGGCTTAACTGGTACACTGTCGCCAGTGACTGAAGGGATGATATAAATCCTGCCGGGGTCCATGCAGGAAGCAAAAGTACTGTAAGTCCCCATGGTCCCCAGTATGGTGATCTCCCTTCAGTTGCTGACGATTTCTAGCCCATTTTTAAATTGTGATGTTCATTAATGCTTACTGCCTTTTAATATTCTCAACTAGTTTTAAATCAAGTCTGTGATATTCTAGTTATTCTACTGTCCTTCGTTGACAGCTTTTTATTCAGTTTAAATATATGTATCATAAATGTATCATAAATGTACTTTCTCGTCACGATATGGCTGAAATATTGCCCATGTGACGTTAAATAATAACTCACTCACTCACACTCTAACCCCGATTTAGTTAAGACAGCGGCAGTCTTTCCCCATACGAACAGTGCCTTTCTAACCCTGACCTAGTTAAGACGGCGGCAGCCTTTCGTTATACAAACAGTGCTTTTCTAACCCCAATTAAGTTTATACAGTGGCAGCCTTTCGTTAAACAAACAGTGCTTTTCTAACTCCGACCTTATTAAAACAGCAGCAGCCTTTCGTTATACAAACAGTGCTTTTTCAAACCGCAATCTAATTAAGACAGCGGTATTATTTACATTATCTGTTACTAAAATCTGCACAAATGTTCTATTTCTTATGTAAAATGCTGTCAACATCAAGAAATAAAAATTATTTCATAACACTCCAAATATAGTTGCCATAATGAAATAGTATTAACGTGTTATTGTCACGTGCAAAAATGCTGTTCGGTAACATTAGTTTTAAACCCAAAGAACACCTCTTACGAGTTCCAAAAATTAAATGAAGCAGTGGTAAAATCTATCCATATATACAAAATTGTATAGTTTTGGAAATACCAACTATACAAAATTGTATATTTTGGAAATACCAAATATACAAAATTGTATATTTTGTATATATGGGTATTTTTTCTTGTGTCTACAAGGTTTAGTGACATTTGAAACCGCTCTACAGATACCAGCGATAACTTTGGAGATTGCAAAATGATTCAGCTTTATTGGTCCTTTGTCAATTATTAATACACGTGGCTAATAGTCAGATCGAATGAATGTATTCTCGTCAGACGAGGTCATAAAATATTTCTGCATCCCTTTTCCCAACCAACAATGGAATGGCAACAAGGACGGTCTAATGCTACAGCGGATCTCCAAGCTGCAAAGACCGAGGATAAAGGGGTGGTTTACTCCGGACAATTTGACGCAAAGAGCAATAGCATTCTAACAGATTAAAGGTTAGGCTGGTTCGGTCCATTGGAGAGGTACAGAATTCGGAGGTTAGCATCACCAGATTGGCCCACGAGCCACCGCCTTCTGGGCATAGGGCTCTGAGCATATATATATATTTATATATAATGTGTATAGCATAGACATTTAGAATAAATTTATTTTTAAATACCAAAAGTTTGGTAGAATCAGGCCCATTCTACCGCCCGTCTTGGGCGCACTATTGCCGGGTCCGGCGCCCTGAACCACTAGACTCCATTCCCCTGCCGACACAGGATCGCAGCCCTCGACAAACAGGCTGCCCAATTCGGTCGCCTTTTACGACCAGCAATAAGTTCTGAGGACACAGTCTTTGTACCCAAGGTCCCCACCCGGGGGTCGGTGAAATGGGGTGCCGGGGACACATTCTATACCTTGGTCCCTATGGGGCTCAATCATTATGAGGCAGGATGTTATCCACAACCCTGTTATTTTTAAGACTACTCTATGCATCGTGACGTACTCTTCACCTGGCTTATACTCTGTGCTCACTATATATTCTGCCTTCATTTTTTCAGCAATCTCATATTCCACCTCTCTCCAAACAAAATCCCAAACCCTGTGTAATCATGTGTGATTGAAATGGCAACAACCCACTCTTGGCTTTTACAAACACTAAAACTAAAGGTATTATTTCATCTCAAACAACGATCTATGTATGTAAAGGTGGATTTCGTCTCCAATAACGACCTATGTATAGTTTATGATGACAACTCTCATTTCCATCCTGTAACTGGGCTCTACCCTTCTCTAAATTTGTCTCCAACTGATTATAACCTTTTTCAACGAATTTGAATGGAGTCCACAAATACCTTTGTGGAAGTGACCATTTCCTAACAGTCTTTTCACCAGTAAATCCATCTGATACTCAGCCTTCGATGGGATTGAATTTTACAAAGGCTAACTGGTATTCATATGAGAAGTTTTGTCAAAATCAACAAAACTCTGAATGGTGAGTGATGTTGCTGATGCTATTCCGGTTTTCACTGATGTTTAATTGAAATATGATACTTACAAATCTATATATACAGAGTTAATATCATTGGATCCAGAATTCTATCAACTAGACTACCAGATAACGCTTCCCCACTTTCATAGCCGAACCACATTTCATTTAAATTTAGAATATATCCAACATTCAGTATTTTAACTACCCCCCCCCCCCCCCCCCCCCACACACACACACACACACCCCACACACACACAGCCACACACCCCCCAAAAAAGAAAGGAACTGAGCATAGCAAACACTGAATACAGTAAATGTACAGTAGAAATGTATTCAAAAGCAATGATATTGCATGAAACAAAATTCATTTGTCTGCAAACAACAACATTAAATGTCTATGCTGTACAGTATCGACTAAAGGATGTTAATGGGGTCAAAACCTAAAGTCACAGACTCGGTAGGGTGTATGCCCGCCGGCTGCATGGATAACAGCTGTACATCGACGCCTCATGGATGAAATTAATCGTGTATGAAAGTTTATAAATAATCATGTCAGCATCCTGTTTTTCTTGACACCACTGGACTGCCTCCGTGGCCTAGTGGTAAAACGTCCGCCCGGAGAGTGTAAGGTCCGGGGTTCGAGCTCCGGCCGCGTCATACTAAAATACGTTAAAAGATGGTACTTGTTCTTACCCTCTCTGGCGCTCGGCATTAAGGGGCTAAAACAAGGACTGGTCGGCTCGGAGTCAGTATAATGTGTGTGAGTGGGGTATTCATGTTAAACTGCGGCATTGTATCTCTGTGGGCTTGCACTATAAATCGGCATCAGTCCGGACTAGTACAAGCAGCCACATAAACACGTGCATGCACGTCGCTATATAAGTGCAATAATCTTGGACGCGACGTTAAACCCCTTTTCACCACTCTTGACACCACTGAGCAACATAAGAATCTTGCTACTGGTCAATACAATATCGTACTTTGCTGGTTACCACATCATGTTTGGTATCGTTGGTAACAAAATGGCTGATGCTGCATCAAAAGCAGCACTTAACAAATCTGTGACGCCGCCTCTTATACGTTACTCTTATCATAAACCTAACACAAAAGAAGTGGGACACTCAAGTGGGTATAAATATAATACATGCACTAAAACCTACTGTTGATTGCACCTACTTGAAATGTTAGTCCAGATTTGAAGAGGTCATTTTAAGACGATATCGTATTGACCATTGCAGCTATACTCATGAATATTTATTGAAAGGTGGGCATTCTCCGTTTTATATCCCTTGTGAAGAGAGAATGACAGTCAAGCATACCATGCTTGACTGTATTGATATTTCCACGACAAGGGTTAAATATTTCAAAGATTGATCCCTAAAGGCGATGAAGGGCGGTAAAATTATTTTCCCTTTGAGAGGGTATCGTAGGACCTTGTCATTCAAAATGTGTTATCCCTATCATAGTTATAATCACAGTAATATATGCGTACAATTGCCTGCAGTTGAAGGGATGGTGCAAATACTGCTGGGGACCTACAGGAAGTCCCGGTTGTTCCTGGTATGGTGACCTAACTGTGGTCCCTGGTGATATAGAGCACGTTTTCATATTGTCTTGTTGAATTATCATTATTATTTTACATGCTTTACTGTCCTTCGACGACAGGTTTTTTATACAGTCTAAATATATCTATTTTTTGATATAATACTTTTTCTCGTCACGATATGGCTGAAATAATGCCGATGTTAAGTTAAATATTAACTCACTCACTGACTTTTACATGCTTTCAAACTAATATAAACTATGTGATAATCTAGTTTTTGTACCGTCCTTTCTATGGTCACGATATGTCTGAAATATTAACGATGCGACGTTACATTCGCTCACTCACTCACGCTACCTCAAACATGTCAGTCACAGACCAGTAATACTAATACCAGCCGATTCACATGTTGGTTTCCGGACGAACTGTCCACATAATAATATCAATGCATCTTGACCATATCTGTGTTACTATAGTTTTATAAAAATCTTTGCAGTATTGTTTTTTTCATTTTTTTCCAGATATATGTCTACATGTGTGCTGTGCCAAAACCGGAAACGTAATCGACAGAACACAGTGGACGAAAAATGATTAATTACCCTGTGTGGGGAAATCTTGATGAAGTAGCTTCGAATGGTCTGACATCAAAAGGGTTGAATTTTTATATGCATAGATACAGCTTGACTATCAAATCTGCTGTGTTTAAGTCAAGGATTCCCATTGTCATTGTTTAAAGCACAATTGCCTTTGAATACCCGCTGAAGTATGTTTTTTATATTGACATGAATAAAATATTTGAACCCATATTGGCAATTGATTTGACCACGTACAGTAACAAGAGTGCTCTGAGAGCACAACATCCCCCGCATGAACTTTTTTTGACGAGTTTACATTTTCTTTGTATTTTATGAAATAACAACAGTAGATGGCACTGCATTTGAAACAAACTCTGCAGAACATTTTGTTGGGAGTAATCCAGTCTGAATGCTAATACCATAAGGATGTAGCTCACCCACAACAGATATTGTGATATTCTCTGGAAACTGGAGGAGGAGTAGATTTCATGAAGCTCAGCAAAACAGGGGCAGTAACTCTGTCACAATTTGTCGAAATGAAACGGGACTGCGATATGCGTATCATCAACATGTCGACATCTTGTGTGTAGAGTGTCAGGGATATTCTCTGGAAAATGTAGGAGGAGTTGATTTCACAAGCTTAGTACCCTCTCTCACATTAGGCAAATGAAGCTCCGTAAAACAGGGGCAGTAATTCTGTCAAAATTAGTCGAAATGAAACGGGACTGCGATATGCGTATTATCAACATGTCGGCATATTGTGTGTAGAGTGTCAGGGATATTCTCTGGAAAATGTAGGAGGAGTTGATTTCATAAGCTTAGAACCCTCTCTCACAATTAGGCAAATGAAGCTCCGTAAAACAGGGGCAGTAATTCTGTCAAAATTAGTTGAAATAAAACGGGACTGCGATATGCGTATCATCAACATGTAGACATTTTATGTTTAGAGTGTCAGGGATATTCTCTAAAAGCTGGAGGAGGAGTTGATTTCACAAGCTTAGTACCCTCTCTCACAATTAGGCAAATGAAGCTCCGTAAAACAGGGGCAGTAATTCTGTCAAAATTAGTTGAAATAAAACGGGACTGCGATATGCGTATCATCAACATGTAGACATTTTATGTTTAGAGTGTCAGGGATATTCTCTTAAAGCTGGAGAAGGAGTTGATTTCACAAGCTTAGTACCCTCTCTCACAATTAGGCAAATGAAGCTCCGTAAAACAGGGGCAGTAACTCTGTCAAAATTAGTCGAAATGAAACGGGACTGCGATATGCGTATCATCAACATGTCGACATCTTGTGTGTAGAGTGTCAGGGATATTCTCTAAAAGCTGGAGAAGGAGTTGATTTCACAAACTTAGTACCCTCTCTCACAATTAGGCAAATGAAGCTCCGTAAAACAGGGGCAGTAACTCTGTCAAAAGTAGTCGAAATGAAACGGGACTGCGATATGCGTATCATCAACATGTCGACATCTTGTGTGTAGATTTTCAGGGATATTTTCTGGAAACTGTAGGAGGAGTTGATTCCACAAGCTTAGTACCCTCTGTGGGACGGACGGACGGACTGCGCCACGACATAATCCCCCTTCGGCCATTCTGGCCCGCCGGGGGATAAAAACGTTAGACTATTTCAGAATACCTACAAATACAAAACAGAAAAAGCCCAATCCTAACCTCTGTTTCAAGATGACCCTAAACTGTGCCCCCCGATTCACTTCCTGTTTGCGAAAAACATGTTTGGTCTGTTAGTGGTTTAACGCCGAACTCAGCAATATTTCAGTACCAAAATGCAGTACACCTATATAACAAAGAAAGTCCTATTATTATAAACACGTGGGTAATGCTAGCCAACTGTACATCAGAAAAAAATTCCTTTCCTCGAACTACCTCACTAAAACAACATTTCAAGTTGCAAGAATTACATGTAACTGCCGTTTGGAGAGAAAAATGCGACAAAGACCTTCAAAGAATCATAAATAAATGTTTGCTGAAAGCATAGTACGATTCGGATTATATCATAAGCAAGTGTAAATGAATCATTATCAAAAGGTAATGATATCACTTGTTCGATTATAGGTGAGCATATCCTGCCCAACTGGTGGCACCCTTCATAAACACTATTCACCGAATATAACACATAATATAACACATAATACACATACAAGTCAAAATAAAAAAAAATGTATAGGTATCATTTTATCAAATGTGGAAATGTCCTGGACACACCTGCCTTAAAACGTTTTGAAATCTTTACTAAAACATACTGTAACACTGATGCAACAACTTTCGAACAACCCCCGTGGGATCCTTGGGTAAAATGTGTCCTCAGCACCCCATTGCTTGTCATAAAATGCGACAAAATTGGGAAACCCGTTTGCCGTGGCTTGCGCCCCTGTGTCAGTGAAGGAAGGGAGTCTGGTTGTTGATGGCTCTTGTTCCAGGAACTGTATTCTTTTGCCCAACACACTACTTTGAGCCTAACTTCACCTATACGTGTGGTAGAATGGGCCCGGTTCTATCAATTGGTTGGTCACGCCAAGCCCTATGCGTAATAATTCAAATTCTTATGTTTGCACATACATGTATTATATTTTCCACAAATGTATTGCATGATCTTGGTCTTTGAAAACACAATTATTTAAAATAACATATTGCCTAGAGTCCTATGACAGAAGGTGGTGGCTCATTGGCCAATCAGGTAATGTTGGCCCCTGAATTCTGTATTTAATATGTTTTTACGGACAGTGCCAGCGTGGCATTAAATTTGATAGACAAATATAGCTATTCATTGCATATTTGCTGGAGTAAAACTTCCTTGTAGCCCTGGTGTTTTGCATATTGGATAGCCATTGCAATAAGACACCATCCTTGTTGACCCTCGACGGTGGTTTGGGAGCAGGGGTGCAGAACCGATATTTTTCATTATGTCTAAAAAAACTCCATGGTTCAAAAAGAAAACATTTAGATGCTAGCTCATCGCGATGAAACAGAACAACAAATAGATTCCTTAGCTCAATTTATTGTAAATCGAGGCACCAGATCATCTACCTATAAATCTGAACCAGTATGCCATTTGTAGGGCCATCAATAGTTGTTGAGAAAATGTCACCCGCCTCCGTAATGCCTCCATATTTGTGGAATGTGCAAGAAGACAGCAATCTCTAAACTTGTTATCAATCAGCCAATTTGCAAATATAGAGCTTGTCTCTGCCCAATGTCTGTCTCACATGAATGAAGTTGATAATGTGACTGAACTGCTAAGACGTGCACTTTCAGTACAATCTGAATCCTCTACAGTAGGTCACGTGAGAGTAAAGTATTAATTTGAGTGAGTGAGTGAAATTTAACGTCACATCGGCAATATTTCAGCCATGTCGTCACGAAATAGTTATAATAAATATATGTCGAAATAGCGTTTAACAATATTGATAGCAGCGTAGAATATATCGTAGAAGCGATATGTTTGGTTGGTGCCGATATGAAACGACCGTAATGTAAAATTAGATGTTGTTGTTGTTGTTAAAAAATGGTTGGACGCTGAGTGTGATAGATTGAAAAGGGAAAGATGCAAACTTCTAAATATGTTTAGAATACATAAAGACACTAATTCGCTGGATGAGTATACTTGCTTTAGAAAAAAATATATAATGCTACGTGTAGACAAAAGAGAGATACAGTTTAAAAACAAAAAAGGCATATATGATTCTAAAAGATTCTGGTCTATCCTCAAACGTGTAAATAAAAAAGCATGCATCTAGAAATAGTATTACCACCAATGATTGGTACCAAAAGTAACAAGGCATCTAGTTTAGATGATACAATTCCTGAGTTCTTTAAACATTCTTCAGATTTACTACTTCCATACTGAGACTACTTAGACTATGGATACAATAAGAAAAACCCAAGCTGGATGCAGTTTCCGGTATCCGGATACCTTCCGGATACCTCCGGACGCTTACCCAAAACGCATCCGGGTATCCGGTGGCAGATACCTTGCCAGATACCAGGTCCTTGGTATTCGGCACTGAACACCTCAGTGGAAAGCAGGCCTCCTTGAATCCGGGTATCCGACACCCGATACCTCAATCTGGATGTCCAAGGATCTGGCACCGGATACCCCACCGGATACCCCACCGGATACCTGTGTAAGTGTAGGTTTCCCCAAAAATGTAACCATTTGGGGGTGTGCATTTTGTTCAATTAAGTGTGAAACACCTAAACATATACTGAACAACAAAAGTTCCTGATATTGAATAAGATTTAAAGCAAAGTTATATTTTTTACCAAATCTGAAACAATTTCGGAGACAAAAGACTCCTGTAAGTGTTCAAATGGTTTAATTTGCCATACTGACTTCAGAAAATGCGTGATTTCATACAAAAAAACATGCCAAAATGTCAATTTACAAATCAATAGCGTGTGTGTCCGCTTCTGGTTGCGATGCAAGCAACACATCTTCGTCTGATGGAATGGGCCAGGCGTCGCACAAAGTCCTGTGGGATATCTGTCCATATCTGCTGGAGCATGTTTCGAAGTTCTGGAGTGTCTGTGGAACACGTGGTTGACGTCGAAGGCCGATCCATCTCATCCCACATGTGCCCGATTGGTGAGAGATCAGGGGAGTGAGACCGCCAGGGGATGACATTCACGTTGTTTTGTTAAAGAAAATCCTGAACAAGTCGAGCAATATGAGGCCGGGCGTTGTCATGTTGAAAGGTAAATGCCTGGGCCATGACGACGCAAACGGTTGAACAACAGGGCCGATGATCTCGTCGCGGGAGCGCTGTCCATTGAGATTTCCCTCTACCACTATCAAACGGGTCGTCTGTCTTGCTGTAATCCCACCCAAGACCATAACGCAGCCGCCCCCGAACCGATCTTCTTCCATGACACAATGATTGACGTAACGTTCACCTCGGCGTCGGTACACTCGAATCCGTCCATCGTTGTGGCTGAGGTTAAAACGAGACTCGTCAGTGAATAGAACCTGTCCCTACTGCAAGGCCGTCCAGCGCAGACGCTGTCTGCACCACTGTAGACATGTATGACGGTGGTTTCCTGTCAAAATGGGACGTCTGGCGGGTCTACTGGCGACAATCCCTGCACATCTGAGGCGACGACGTACGGTTTGTGAAGATATTCGTCGAAGGCCATGGGCGCTTCTTGCAGTCACTGTTGCTGGATGGAAGCGATTTCGTAGGTGTGTTGTTCGAATCCAGTTGTCTTGTC